TTCTCTTTCCAAGGAGCTACACATTCCATGGTCATCTCATTTAGGATATTCTCTTTCCAAGGAGCTACACATTCCATGGTCATCTCATTTAGGACGTTGTCCTTCCCAGGAGTTGTCTCTACCAGGAGCTATATACTGGATATCCATCCCACTTGGGATGTTGTCCCTCCCAGAAGTTGTATACTCCATGGTCACCTCATCTCGGATGTTTTCTCTCCAAGGAGCTACACATTCCATGGTCATCTCATTTAGGACGTTGTCCTTCCCAGGAGTTGTCTCTACCAGGAGCTATATACTGGATATCCATCCCACTTGGGATGTTGTCCCTCCCAGAAGTTGTATACTCCATGGTCACCTCATCTCGGATGTTTTCTCTCCAAGGAGCTACACACTCCATGGCCATTTCATCTAGGATGTTTCTTTTTTTTCATGTTGAAATATGCCCAGACTACCTCATCTTGATGATCTTTTGTAAAGTCAAAGCGGTTGAAAGATCAACTTGTGGTTCTGTACTAAGTAACAATAAGAAACAAGTAATATAAACTGACCAAATCATCACTACTGAGCTCTCACTGTGTGATTAACGGATTAGTACTAAGCTAATGTATTTTGATTCAGTTAGTAGATCTTGGATAAATGGAATACAACAACCATATGGTAATGTGTTAACATTTATATTATGATGAGAAGATAAACCAGTTGTTATGATAAATATTGGACAAAACGGTTTATATATTAAAATATATAAGTTATGTATGTATATATATTAGAAAACATTACATACAGAATCTGCCTTTTATAGTTTATTTTTTTAACAAATGTCATCCATTATACAGGATTTCCACAGACACACCAAACAAGCTCGTCCTTTCAGCCGTGGGGGCATTATAATGTGACGGTCAATCCCACTATTCATTGGTAAAAGAGTAGCCCAACAGTTGGCGGTGGGTGGTGATGACTAGCTGCCTTCCCTCTAGTCTTACACTGCTATATTAGTGACAGCTAGTGCAGATAGCCCTCGTGTAACTTTGCGCGAAATTCAAAACAAAACAAAAACAATCCTGTATCTTTATCTAATACTGCGTTTGTCTTTAAAATAAATACAAAAAAATCTTATTGTAATTTTTACAGGATAAAATTTGTTATGAATATAGTTTGTTGGAATAATTTAGTCTTAAGAGATGAAGTGAAGACAGGTGTATATAAATATTCACTGGAAATTCATTAGTCTTTTGAAATCGGAATGAGATCAATATCTTGGAAAACAATCGTTTTCTTTATATGAACAAATTTGTATTAAATTTATTGTAGCGAAATAAAAAACGAAAAACATTGAAGCCTTCTTTTTTGTAGCTTTTGGTAGAACAATAAAAGCTGTACTCTTTATGATCTGTAAAAGACTGAAGATGATAATTTTCTCTTTATTTAATTTGGGGTTTCGATTGGTAAGATAAATACCTAGCAAATGTAGACAATCTTCTTTTTTACTTCATATGCACATATTTATAATAATATTTATTTTTCTAAGATTTGTTGATTGGTGCCCACGAATCTGGACATGCCGTTCTACTTAGGTAAGGAAGCTATTCATGATAAATCTTCTTAGCTTTGGTATTTAGTTATTGCTCATTTTTAAAAATGTCTAATAGCAGTCCCCAGTGGGCCAGCAGCAAGTTTCTGGACTTCCAGTACTAAAATGTGAGGTACAACTCCCCACAGTGGGCAGAGTGTAGATAGCCCATTGTGTAGCTCTCTCATAAAAAACATCTAACAAAAAAATTGTCTTTTATCTGAACTTATAAAATATGAACTTGATTTAGTTTTTCTTACAAGGGAAAACCATTATGTACGTCTGGAAAGTGGTCTGTGATAATGTTTTTGTAAATATGTCAATTTTCAAGAAATATAGCCTGTTTATCATCTGTAATGCAAGTTTATTGAATCCTACGTATTCTTCTGATTGTTTTTTGTTTGTTTTTTAATAATATGCATGTTTATGAGCTGTGGGTTGTATATGTTTATCTTCAACAGTTTCATTGTAAAGATTATTTTATTCTAATTCCTCACAGCTGATTGCGGATAGTGAATGCTAACTTAGATGCCAACTTTTGTGGGCTTTATCTCTCACATCTATTCTGAATTTTAGGTTTCTAATCTTATTTTCAATCCACTGTAAAGATGATCTGTACAAGTTTTAGCAATATTTGCTACACATATTAACCTAGAGAGCATATTATATTTCTTGCTCTAAATTGCAAGTTTTGTAAACTGCAATTATCTAAAAAAAATGGATCCAAGTATTTTTTAGTGTACAAACTTATAAGTGAATGACTGATAAGTTGTTACTACAACCACAGATTTATACTTGTTTACTAGCAAAGTGTTTTTCTTTTGCAGGACCAGCCCAGTGGCAAATATTGAATCTAAGCTAAGTTTTAATAAGGACGTTATAGACAGAAATGTTTTGGATTGTTCTTACAATGATGAACAATATTCTTGTGTAGAAGTGAAGTACTGTATCCAGTACAGTGGTCGTAACTTGCCGAAGTCCCAAAGTAAGTCAATTCCATTAAAAACCACTGTACTGTTACACAAAGATACTTTCTGTGGTAAAGGCAACTAACATCGTAACTTGCCGAAATCCTAAAGTAAGTCAATTCCATTAAAAATGTCAGTTGTCTTTACCATAGAAAGTATTGTTGTGCAACAGAATTTTCATTAATGGGAATTATTATAACACAATCTTGAATTTCTGTACCATTTTGTTTTACTGAGGAGTAATTGATCAATTTATCATATGTTACATTTTTGTTACACATTTATCAAAGTATATTTTTAAGTCTGTCATCTAAGTTGAACACTTGAAGTGTTAGGTACTTAAATACATAAAAAATATTGTGTAGATCCCTCAATGGATCAGCGGTAAGTTTATGAACTTACAACATTTGATTTAGGGATTTGATTTCCCTAAAGTGGACACCGTAGTTAGCCCATTGTGGATTGGGGCTAAACAAACAAATAGAAAGTACTAGATCAAAAAATAGTATATTTAATTATTTGCCATCAGAGTTTAATTTTATTTTTGGTGGAAAATTAAATAAATCTAAGTGAGTTAAAAAAAAAGATACTTAGTTTATTTACTGTCAATATTATTGTTTAAGGTGTCAGTAAGTAGTATTAGTCATACAACAGAATATGAGTGTGTGTGTGTGTGTGTAGAGAGAGCTGGGCGTTTCAGTTTCATTTCTTACAAAGCTAGTCTGATGGAAATGATATCTTGTTTTTAGTAATATTTTGTTTGTTTAAGAGATGACCGTGGTGGGCAGAATGCAGATAGCCCTTTGTGTAGCTTTGGGCTTAACTACAAGCAAACAGTTAAGAGACGAAGAAAACCTTTGTGTTTTGTTTGCGAGAATGATTATGTTCAGAAGTTAGTGTCAAAAATATTGAAAGTTAAGAATACTATATGTTATCGGTCAAGTACACTACATAAAACTGATAAAGGACAATTAGAATTTATGAAGTTCCTGCTTTGTCAAACCAAAAACCACTGCTGTAAAAATAATGTCAATCACTTCCCCAGTTCATCTTTTTCTATATTCGGCACCTGATGGCCAGTCATGGAAGTGACTGATTTTCAGCCTGTGCTATATGTAGTGGTTTCATTTGTCAAAGTGAAGTAAATCATGTTGTTTAAAGTACTCCAAAAGTGTTTGTGAATCATGGCTAGACCTCAAAAACATTCTGATGTTTCATTCCCACATATAGTTAGGAGAATGTGGAACTGTTTCCAAAATAATGGTTCAGTCATCATCTGCAACGCAAACGGATAACAATGTCCACTTTGACTTGTCACAACTGTAGGGTACCTGCTTTGAGACTGAATCAGATGTTCTTAGATGGAACTGGACTTCGTGTCAGGGCAAAGACAATTAGCAACACATTTTGCAAGGTCTATCTGTATGTCAGGCACTCGGTGAGATGTGTTTTACCTATAGCAAGACACAATACAGTGGAGACAAGGACACTTACAGTGGACCAGTGACATGTAGAGTAATTGTATCACAACCAATTAACAGGTTAATACTCAGTCAGAAAGAACCTAGAGTCTGGTCCCACTTCAGACCAAAACAGGTTAAATGTTAATGCTCACTCAGAAATAACCTACAATCTGGTCCCACTTCATAACACAACCAGTTAACAGGTTAATACTCACTCAGAAATAACCTAGAGTCTGGTCCAATCTCATTTTTGTATAGAAATGTGTCACCAATGTTGGAGGAGGATGTAGGTGTGTAATAAGTCATTGTAAATATTCCAACCTCTAATCCTTGGGGAATGTTAATACTACATGCTGTACAGATCGCATCCCGAACACTTGCTGTATTTCAGTCTCATTGAATACATGTGGGGTGTTATTGGGAGACAGATCTCATCCCATTATGTGCCTTCAGACATTAGATATGTCCTGAAAATATACTTAACGGTTCATTAGAACTTTATTAAGACCAATTTTAAACATGCGACATCTTTCTCAGACTGTAGTAAACACATTGCCTACCGAACATAAAATATATATCAACCTTTAACAAATGTTTATTCACAAGTGTATATTGTTTAGTTCAGTGTGTATGAAAGATAATAGTCTGCATTTAATAATGTGTTACAGACATAAAAAGTGAGATATTATAATGTATATATATGAACTTAGGAACTGATAATGTATGGTTAACAAGAAAGTGAAGGGTAATAAGCTTATATTTGTCATGAAACAAGGAAGTAAAAAATTAATATATATAAGTAGTTTTGAGTTATGGACTAAGAAATTGTATGATAATATTACGTATCTAGCTGCATGTTTTTGACCAAGAAGTGAAATATAATAATTTTGTTTGTAGACATTTTTATGAACCAGAATATCAAAAGATAATTTCCATAAACACAGTATTATTAGAATAGATTAAAAAAATATTATTTTGCTCTGTGTTATAATTCAAGACAGTGAAGGGGAACATTGGTTGTTTGTAACTGAAAACACCATTAGTAGCAACGGTACCCAATTGATGACCTGTTGCCAGGTGGTATAGAAGATTTTTGTAGTTTGCCTGTCAGTCTTAATTAAGACCGTTTGTTGTTAATTACGTTCAGTATTGTAAAATTTAAGAATTATTCTAGTAGAAGCTGTTACATAATTAGGAATTAGTGTAATTTTGAAAATGTTTTGAATAATAAAATTATATTTTTCAGCATTGGAAGTGAAGATAATATCAGATGTTAAGCAGTCAGGAAAAACCTCCAGAGGTTTCTTTGTTGAAGATCAGCAGACAAAACAAAATTTTATAGTGACTCTAAACTTACGCTATGATTCTCCATACTGCGCAAGTAAAAATTTCTACATCAAGGTATGAAAAGTAATCGGTAACTTACCTTAAAAAAAGCCTATAATAGTTTTTACTTTTATGTATAGGCTTCTTTTTAAAAGTATAAGTAAATATAAGCAAGTTACATCAAAGGTAATTGAAATTGTGTGTGTGTGTGTGCTAAATGTTTTGTATGATTACTGTTTTTTTTGTTTTTTTTTACATTTCTCTAGAATTAAAGCTTATAATGTAAGCAACACTAAACTCACTTTGTAATTCCATAGGAATTACAACTGTCTTTACTGTGTGTTTTGAGCATGAGGACCTTTGTTTGGTTTAGAACAGAGCCACATTGCCACAGATTGCTCTGGAGTTTGGTGTTGTAAGTCTGTAAACTTACCACTGTTCCACCAGGGGACAACATTTAAAATCGTACAAATATACCAAAATTACTATTTCTGCACCCAAATTGTTAATTGTGAAATTTGATTTTTGAACCTAAATAATCTGTATTTGATAGACACATTTGTTTCATTTGTGCATGTAAGCATGACATAACTTTCAGTGTTACAAACATACTTGTACTCAAGATATGTCTGTAAATTACCAACATCAGTATGACTCGGACTGACAAGTGGGAGGTAATAGTTGTGAAGTAAACAAATACTTTTTTTCTGTTATACAGTTTGCAAAACTCTAAAACCTCCAAAATTCATATCTAGAGTTTCTTTAGTATCCCTGTATATTGTATCTGGTGTTTACTCTTCTCAATGGTCAGTTTATAATTCTGACATCAAATACATTATATCATGTTCACTGGCACTCTCTAAGAGATTTTGGCATGTGTACTTTGACCAGTACTCATGCATATAGGATTAAAGGTAATCAAATGTTTTCCAGCTGTGTTCATATGCCAAATATAATGAGAAAAGGTCAAAGCATTCTAAAGGTTGTTAGTACGGATGTTTTTTTTTTCCATTGTAATGACCCTTACTTTCTACTTGATTTAAAGATTAGGTAACAATTTTTTCTCAAAAAATTTAACGGAAACAAAAAATATTTAAATAAATATCTTTCCCAGTTATTGAAACAGTATTCAGTCATTTTCGAAAAAAATTATAAGTAACACTAATGGTTATAACCTCAGCTACTTGAATAAACATCGATAGTAAAATGTATTTTAATACTTTAACATAAACTTGTGAGTTTTGTGTTTCATGAATTCACACATTGTATTTTTTTTCATTTTTCAGAAAAATTTAAATGATCTTTCTGCTCTAACCTTCACCCTGTCTCATGCTCTGTTGTCAGAACCCTTTACTGTGTTCTGCAAGAATTGCCCCATCATGAATAAAGATCAGCTATCCAATGTGACGAAGAAAGTTAGTAATGTATAATTTATAATCGTAATACTTTGTCATAATTAATTTTAGTTTGCAGTTCTATAGCAGTACTGAATTTTGGAAATAAAAAGTTAATATTTGTTCATGGCTGATTCAAAAAACAAATAGTGTAATGTTTTGGGATTATAATTCAGTTTCAGTAACATTTTCTTTAGTACAAGCTGAAACGTATTTAGTAAAGCATGGTTACAATAAGAAAAACTCAACTATTTACTCAACTGACAACAATATGAAGCTTTTATATATAAGATATAAATGTTCAAAAAACCCTTGACTAGACTCTCTTTAATTTTCTAACTTTCACCTAGAATATTTGTTAAAAAAAGCAATATTTTAATCTTTTATTTTAGCTACTTACTCAATTCCAAAAATTCATAGATGATACATCATATAATTTGACCAGTACATCATCAAATGGAATAACATGAATACATGTTTCATTATCCAGCTGCTTGAGGTATGCGATGGTTGAACGTACATGTTGATCGAGGAAGCAACCTGTGTGCACGTGGAAGTTGTTGCTTTTACAGATGTATCTTCATTTTAATTATGTTATGTGCTGTTGCCTGAGACAAATAACCTTTGTATTTGTGGATTCTCATCTTTTACGAGATCTCACACTTTGCTTAGCAAGGCTGGCATAGAACTTGTTGAAATTCTCTATATGAATAGTCCTGACACCCCAAGTTGATTCATGCTCCATTATCTTACAATGCAATTAAGTACAAGGGATATTTCCATCTTCGAAATAACTAAATCCTCAATCAGAACACATCCTTATGATCTGAGTATATGAATATTTTATGTTGGAAGGGGCTGTTACATCAAAATTTGGTGGCATCACACTATCTACAAAATACCAAGCAATATCAAAACATAGTTCTGATGTGTACCATTCCACATGACTTGCTGATTTGCATATTCAACCTTCTGTACAATGTAAGCAGCACTTACATGAACATGGTATTTGTTGCTACAGATTTATTTAAGAATAGATTCTTGTACATAAGGTGATCTTTTGTTATTGAGTGAGCTTTATAGAAACAGGTTAACAAAGTGGAGACATATTGCATCTTAGCTGGTTTAAAATACGTTACTTATGAATTAAAGTAATTTTTTCTTGTTACAACTGTTATAAGATGTCTGTTTGACAAGCAGTTAACACACTTTAGATGTTAAATGTAAATATATATATATATAAATAGAAATAATTGTATTTAAAAACCATGATTATATCATGTAATTTTAAATATAAATAAACAATAGAAGCAATGCATTGGTATGATGAGATTCACTGAAGCTAAGGTAGCTATTCTATTTTATAATATAATATAGCAACCTTTTGTTTAGTGTTAACATACACAATTATCATCAAGAAATGATGTAATTGGACAATAATATAAGTGTTTTGATATGTATATAAACAAATTATTTTAAATTCTTTATAAAACTTGGGTACATAGAATATTGATTCTAACAGATAAATCTTTAAATTATTTACAAATTAATGTCTTTTTCATGAAATGTTCTCATCGATCACTAATCTGATAAAAAATAAAAGGTTTAAAATATAAAGTTCTTTTTTGTTACTCCATGTGTTTTACTAATATATATATGGTGGGCACAAATAAAAATGGCAGAGAAGTTTTTGAAATTCTATAAATAGTGTTTATATGTAGGGATTTTTAGTGTTTTAAAGACTTTGTAAGACTAATTCCAAATTAATTGTGACAATGAATTTTAATATCAAACTTTTATCTACTAATAAAAAAAGTCGCATGTTATAGAAAAATTTCAAAGTAGCTCTAAAAATGTATATGCACAAATAATGAAGTTAGTTCTTTATTAAATACACCTTACAACCTTGTGTTTTCTACCACATCAAACCTTTGATTATTGTTATTTATATCTGACTCTGTTATTATTGAACATATATAACTAGTTTAGGCAGTTTTTTTTTTAATTTGTAGATAATTTGTGCTTGTCATAATAGTGCTGAAGAAACGTATGTATACCAAATTTATATGTAATGTATATGTCATAACATGTTTTTAATGTCTTTTATTCTTCTTTTTTTAGATAAAATTTTATATTTCTTGTGGAAATGAAGAATGCATCTCTGACTTAAAGATCTCGGCAAACATTTTAAACTACAAGTATGTACCTGAAACTGTTTCAACTGCAATTTGATTTTACTGTTTCGAGTGTTTGGATATATTTCAATTGCTTAACGACTAAGAAAAGACAAATAGTTAATTAATAACTGCAGACATATGTGAGGTTTTAAAAGTAACAACCATATTAGTCAGTTGTAGTTACATTTTTATTTGTGTTACAGCTTTGCTTCTTAATAGCTATTGTTGTCAGGTAGAATAATTATTAAAGTTAGATTAGTTTTTGTGACAAATCTTCCTGTCTTTTAATTATTTTAAACATAAGCTCACACTAACTTGTTTATTTGTTTGTTTTTTTTTGTTGTAACTGAAATAATCTTTCCTGGAGCTTCTATATAAATAATATAACTTAAAGAATATAAAAGTAAATGTTTATGAATATAATGAAGGTAGAAGAGATGGCTCTGAATGAGTTTTATGAGTAGTTCCTTTTCTCTGGCATTTCTTGTCTTTTTCTCCATTAACTGTGAAAAATTGAAAGCATCAATAAAAGTTGTTTATCATAGAAAAAATTATCAGTTAGTTTGTTTGTTTTTAATTTCACGTAAAGCTACACAAGGGCTATCTGCACTAGCCGTACCTAATTTAGCAGTGAAAGATTAGAGGGAAGACAGCTAGTCAGTGCCAAATCTTTTTACCAACGAATAGTGGGATTGACCGTTACATTATAATGCTTCCGTGTCTGAAAGGGGTGAGCATGTTTGGTGGGATGGGGGTTCGAACTCACGACACTCAGATTGTGAGTAGAGCACCCTAACCACCTGACCATGCCAGGCCAAACTTTATTAGAATGGATGAAATTACAAAATGTTTATTACTTTCTCAAAAAAAATTATTACACTGTCATTCTTAAATTTAATGACCACATTATTTTCAAAAATCAGTGTTTCTAAATATTAGACAACTGCCTGATATATATTTATTTCAAACATTATTTTTTTTTTTTTGTATAGAGAAGAAGAAACCTTAGTTATTGGTCAGAACACTAGTTTGACTCTAGAAGTTCAAGTAACCAATCAGATCAATCCGGCATATGATGCAAAAGCATTTATCAAAATACCACCAGATGTTGCTGTAATCAACCAAGACAGGTGCCACATCATTACTGGGGACACTGTTAACACCTTACAGTGCGACGTTGGAAATCCCTTAAACGCCAATGATATTGTAAGTACAACATTATGATTTCCTGAAATTGAAACTAAGACAATTGAATAGTTGAAAAGTATTTTGAGGAGAACAATATAGAATTAAAATAGGAAACCACTTATTGAGTGCAAAGTTCAGTAATAATATCTGTTTGGAAAATAATCGTCAGTTTTTGTGGTTGTTAATTGTTTCGATATTTTTCTGATCCTTAAAAAATTACATAATAAATTAACAAATTAGTTAAAGCAAGTTAGTTTTATTATATATTCACTAAAAACAAGTTTGAAAACTTTAGGTTACTTCTGTATGTCTGGGTTGAGTTGAGCATTATGTGACGATTACAGGGGTTATGGCAACAGGCACTGCCCCCTTATGTGGAGACAAGCTGCCTCGCAGGAGGTAGAAGATTTTCTTTACTGATGTTACTGTCTTCTGGCTGTATACTGTTCTAATAATTCCCCACCTTCTGCTGTTTCTAGCTACATCATACAGTCATTTGTTTTTTAAACATCTCATTCCAGCTGAATGTTGGTGAAGACTTTTCATGGTTGCTTTTTTTGCCTTAGTTGTGCAGAGGCAGTTGATATCCTGCCAGTGTAGTTATGCTATATTTGATATAGGGGCTTCCCATTCAAGCTTATCGACTTCCTTACCTAGCTTTAACCCTTCATGGCCTAGCACGTTCATCCAGGTAAGGGTTTTACCATGCATTTCTTTTCCTTTATGCCATCCATCTGCAGACCAACTACTCTGACTTTTATGCAGTACTGTCTCTAAGTCAGATACAGATATGATTTTGTTGAAACTGTCTGTGTGCAATAATTGTTTCCACCTCGCTTCATGGCTTCCATTCCGTTATACTCTCAGTGTTTGTGGCTATGGTAATAAGTGACAGGCTTTATTCTGTTTCACTCTCTGTCCAATCTCAACATTTTCATATAGACTGAAGTCCACGGAGATATCCAATATCTCGTTGTGACCGTTCAGTTGTGGTTGTATAATAACTGTCCACTAATGACTGCCTCTTTTTGGTTGGTGTCTGCGTAGTCATTGTAGAGCTGGCAAGTCCCAGTTGAAAAGGGCAATAATTCATCTGTGGAACGCATGGTCTTTACACAGTAAAGCCCCTGTGAAGATGTTTTCTTGTAAGTGCTTTTGGTGTTCTGCAATGCTACTGAGACTTATTAAGTCTAATGAGGCCTTGATGTGGGTAACTGAAGAAATAAGCATTTTATATCTGTTAAATCTGTATGACTGAAATACTGTGTAAAGTTAGTAAAAGTGTTCTCCTGCCCTTTGAGACATTTAGAAAGGGTAAATGTGTTCTATTTCTCCTTTGAGACATTTAGAAAAGGTAAACATGTCCTATTTCTCCTTTGAGACATTTAGAAAGGGTAAAAATGTCCTATTTATCCTTTGAGACATTTAGAAAGGGTAAACGTGTCCTATTTATCTTTTGAGACATTTAGAAAGGGTAAACGTGTCCTATTTCTCCTTTGAGACATTTAGAAAGGGTAAACGTGTCCTATTTATCCTTTGAGACATTTAGAAAGGGTAAACGTGTCCTTTGAAACACATGCTTATAATATTTGTGTGCGAGTATGATGATTTCTTGAACTTATGTTAACAGTGGTGAAAGTCATGTAGATAACTAGAATTAAATGTGTGTGTATAATAAGTTATTATTATTTTATACAACCAAAATACAAATTCTGTTATCAATGTAAAATATCATAGAACATAATGAGAGTTTTGTACACAGTAAAATCATTCTGTTTCCCAAGATAAATTAGATTGTTGCACATACTGAGAGTTTTGAACACAGTAAAATCATTCTGCTTCCCAAGATAAATTAGATTATTGCACACAATGAGAGTTTTGTACACAGTGAAATCATTCTGTTTCCCAAGATAAATTAGATTGTTGCACATAATGAGCGTTTTGTACACAGTAAAATGATTGTTTCCCAAGATAAATTAGATTGTTGCACATAATGAGAGTTTTGTACACAGTAAAATCATTCTGTTTCCCAAGATAAATTAGATTGTTGCACATGTTGAGAGTTTTGTACACAGTAAAATCATTCTGTTTCCCAAGATAAATTAGTCGAACTTGTACTTTAAAAGCTTAAGCGTGTTACATTTGAAATTTTTCTAGATTAATCATCTTAAAACTATGGGCTGTTTTTTGTCTCTTCTAAAGATTCATTATGTATTGTAGACTACCGTTCATTAAAATATGGTCTGTTTTTTCTTTTCTTTTCTAAAGATTCATTATGTATTGTAGACTACCGTTCATTAAAATATGGTCTGTTTTTTTCTTTTCTTTTCTAAAGATTCATTATGTATTGTAGACTACTGTTCATTAAAATATGGTCTGTTTTTTCTTTTTTTTTTCTAAAGATTCAGTATGTATTTTAGAAATCAGTAAAGCTTATAATTCTTCTGTATTAATTTCTACTTGATAATACTAAGTTTAGTGACATTCTACTTTCTAAAACAAGTTTTATTGAATTTATTTGTTAAATAAAAAGCATAATTTCTTTATTCTGATTTTGTGGATGGTCCATATTATAACATATCTATCACATAGTTTCAATTTTCGTATTTAGATTTAAAAAGAATAACATCAGTCAAAATTATCTACAATTTGAAATATAAAATTCAAACTGTTTTATTTTTGTTTGTTTCAGGTGAAATTTCAAGTGAAATTGGACATTTCAAAGTTGACGGGGAAGTCGAAAGAGATTAAGATTGATATCAATGTCATTTCACAGGGCAAAGAACAAAACCCATTGGACAACAGTGTCAGTATTGTTGTGTCCTTCGTTGCTAAGACTCACATCAGTATTACAGGGTATGATGTTTGTTTTAATATTAATTTCTCTTAGATCTAATTAATGTTAGTGATACCGGAACAGAACTACAATGTTAGACCACCATCGTTTTTGTTCTCTTCATTATATAGAATAGTTATGCCGGTAAGACCACTGGTTCAATCATATTATCATACTTTTTTTCTTGTATTTTGTTTTAAATATAAAAAACTTGGTTAAGTGTAAAACCTAATGAAAATATGACATCTGATGTTAGTACGCTTCTTAAATGTAATTAATCACGCACATAGATAAAAACAAAGTGATTACATAGGTAGGTGAGTAATAGGAACGTTTTTGAACAACATACATTTTTTTCTATAAAAACTGATTCGAAAAGCTTTTACCTCTACTATATTACAAAATTATGATGAAGCTTTACTGGCAAACAAAGCCATACAATACAAGTGAGTTAAATCCAGTTGTCTGTTTATAATCTTTAAAATATTGAACTTGGTAATAGGTTCACGGAAAAAGAACAAATATTATATGGGCCAGGACAACCAAGTATGCTTCCTTTGGAGCAAGGTTATATGGTAAGTTTGTTTCTTTGGTTGATAACTTTAAATGGTGAAGATTATGTTCCTAACGTTAATCTATTCAACATAAAATAAATATGCACTCAGTAACATAGCCTGCCTTCGTAAAGTGTGACGGCTTTTTCTTAGTCCATTCTTTATATTCAGTATATAGTTTCAAAATATACTGTCCATTCATAATTTTATTACAAATACAAAATGACCAGTACAGTTAGAATATTTTGAATTGTTAGACGAAAAGTTAGTGGTAGAAAAAATAACGGTCTTATGTTCTTATATTTAACTCAAATATTTTATTGTAGAATGTTTTTTTACAGTTCTGAAAATTGGCAAGATATATTTGATTTTTTTCTAAATGAAAATTTAACTCGCAGTATGTGTAGACAGAGATCTTGTAAAGTTGTCATAAAAAATAAAGTTGTAAGAACAATTGATATAGCACATTTTTCAAATATTATTTTACAAAAATGTTTAGTGTATTCATTATTTTAAATGAACAAAATAAAAGATCTTTATATTATTAGATTATTAAGTTCTTTATATGTGTGTATGTATATATATATATAGAGAGAGAGAGAGAATAATAAATAAAGGCAGATATTATACAAAGAGAATTTTCATTTCAAGACCAAAATAAATAATACAGTGATAATAAATTCTGAAAGAATGTTTACTACCAAAATATTGATATATATATTTTATGTACCAATTTCATTGTATTAAAACATTTATCAGCAGTAATATTTAGAATAATTGGACTTTCGTATGTTTCTAGTCAGCAGCTTTATTCAGCGTACAGGATTTCAATACAATACAGTACTATTTCCTGTGAGCCCGGCATGGACAGGTGGGTAGGACGCTCGACTCGCAATCTGCGGGTCGCGGGTTCGTGCCCCCATCCCACCAAACATGCTCGCCCTTTTAGCCATGGGGGCGTTAT